GCTTTAGATTCGTGCACCCTCTTCGCTTTCTCACTTGTCGAAGATTGGCACGTCCTTTGCATCATGGCAACAAAATATGGAAGGGAGTTGGTGGCTTATAGGAACAGATTTGCTGGCCACGCAATGGGGCGAAAATGCCCAAACAAATACGGGTCTACAGCACGGGGCACCCATCACTATGAGTTTTTAAATCTCAAACATGAGGCACGCCATACATGTTATCCACGAAAGGATCCGTTGTTATCAAATCCCGGCTCACAATGTCCAACCGACGGCAAGTTTAAATTCAGCCGGGCTTTGCTTCAAGGCACGGTGATTCACAGGGGCACCACTCGACGCCTGTGATGCGCAAGTGTGGAGGATTGATCGGAAGCAGGAAGTGTCCTTCGCACGTGCGCGTGCCAACTCTGTCCCACTTGAAATTTGGATCAGCCATGGTTGCGAATATGTTCCCCAACATTGAAGCAACATGCATGTAGACCGACAACATTGGGGGTCTCCTGTATATAACTCACCAACTCACCTAGATTGTGGCCAAGTCTAGCCTACAATGTCTTGCTTTGGTGTAATGATGTGGCCGTGCAGTCAGGCAACGGTGTGATTCATGCTCCCTGTGTATTAATATTATACATAGAAGCCCTGCTGACAGCGTAGTGGCATCAACCCGTATGGGAAAAAGTTCTGCGGCCCTGAGGCCACAGTATGAGATCCATGTTCTTTCACTTTGATGATTTCAAATCATTGGCGTTGGCCCACTTGCATGTCTCCCGGATTCGCGTGGCCAACTGCACTTCGTTCGGCCGGCAAACCTTTTGGCGGAGTGAAGGTACAATGTTGTTATATCAGTGTATATCACCACCCTTCAACTAGTTTACATTTATCCTTGGGCCCATGGGTTCTGTAAATTCGTATGGTAGAGGGCAGAGCTTGAAACTTGCAATCTTCAAAGCCAAAACGCGACCAATGAATCAGGAAACAAAACGGGTCAGCTATCATGCCACCAAAACCGCCAAATATCACAAATAGTCCAAATAGCTAGCATATTGCTGCAGTGATCCAACATGACCCAACCACCATGCCCAAAACCCACCACAGCCCCCACACCAGCCTGACATGCGCGCAAACTAGCATTACTGCGCCGCCTCACCAGGCCACCGTGCCCTACTTGCAATTCACCACACCACCATACCGTAGACCGCATACTGTACCTCGAGCTCAAAACCAAAACCACCGTGCCCACATACCGCACCACTGTATTACATGTGTTTTTCCTGTTGTCTACTTTTCAGTAACTTACCGCCACTTAAGCTATCTAAGGTCTACTTATGATCTACTTAGCGCCTATTTAAAAAACCTTATTAATGATTAGAAATAAGTAGGTTGTAAGTAACTTATAAGTAGGAATAAGTAGAACAGCCTTGAAACGAGGTGCTTTTGATATATTAGGCATGGTAGCTAAAATAGCATGCTTTTCAAGTTTATTTTGAACATTTTTGTTGTAAGAAAGTTATTGTTTTTGATTTTTCTTCAAATTTGATTGCGAAACATGCGTTTTTTGGTAAACAAGAGCGGACACACCGCTGCAACATCAACTAGCAACAGTAAACAAGGGCGGACACACCGCTGCAACATCAACTAGCCACAGCGGTCACACCGCTGTCTGCCTGGGTTGGGCAGACATTCTGGACCAGAAAGCACCGTTGAGGCTATACGTGTTTGTCAAGCCTTTGAGACCAGATTCCCCTGGGTGGCAAAATGATTGAAAATGAATTTTCGCCCTGCGCTGTGCTTTGGTTCTGCGAGCCCCTGATAGATACCCAAAAGTATCCATGTATGATGGTGTGCATCGTTATGGATACTTATAGATACCCGTAGATACCCAGAACCAAGTTATCCAGATTTTCATGGGTTTGTATAGATGCCTGTACATACCTATAGATTCCCGGATACCTTTTGGGCTGTAAAACGTATAGATACGGTATAGATACCCTATAGATATCCGATAGATACCCGTGAGATACGCGGGAAAATGATTCCCCAAAGAGTTTGCACCACGACACCACGACAACGAAAAACGGCAAACATGCATCATGAATCAAGATGCACCTCTTTTTTTTCTCCTTGGGATCCCAGCGGACACACCGCTTACAAAGAAACATGCAGCGGACACATCGCTTCCAAAAATCAAAGCACGCACGCCGCTCAAGAAGTTCACCCAAGCAAAGTTTTTAGCGGGGACCATTTTTAGCATTCAACAACCATGTTACAAAGCGGCCGCGCCGCTAGCAAGACCATGGCAACTGAAAAAAATACATTGAAAAAGCAAAAAATACGAATAAACATATGAATTTACAAAAATACAAGTTTCAAACACATACATAAAGTAGCAAAAATGTCAAAAAATACATAAAAAAACAAGAAGAAAAGTAAAATAACAATAGACAGCATAGTTTTATCATAAGTAGGTTAAGTAGAAACAAGTAACAAGTATATAGAACGTAAGTAGAACTAAGTAGATGCAAGTATACTTAGCCTACTTGCATGGATATGTTACTTAATTGTTTTCTTTCCACTTATGTCTAGTTAGCAAGTAAACCAACTTTCTTATAAGTAACTTCAAGCAACTTGTAAGTAAGTCAAAAAAAATCTACTTAAGTTACTTATTTCTACTTATAGCCTTACTTAACCTGGTTAAAACTATGTTATATCTACTGATAAGATCTTAAAAGTAGGTTACAAATAAACAAGTAGAAAGGGACCATTAAGACGATTAAGATACCGTACCTCAAAACCACCGCGCCGCCGTATCGCACCTCATACCGCACCACGTACCGTACCACGTACCGCACCACCGTACCGTACCACCGTACCGTACCACCGCACCACCGTACCGTACCACGTACCGCGCCACCGTACCATACCACCGCGCCTACTTTGGAGAGTGCTGTTTCACAGCACTTTTGGAAAAACATAAGATAGAGCTGGCATTTGAACAGTTAAAGATTGTCGACAACTTGCTGCGGCTTTGCTGGAGAAATGGGCGCCAATATGCGCCAATCAATTTGAGGACTGCAAAGCAAGCGTGGTGGAAGGATGGACAGAGGCGCCGGCGATGCATTTGTCATGTTGTGAACGTGTTGTGAACGATGCGCAGAGGATCGCAGAGGTGCATTGTGCAAATCCCAGATGGTGCTCCGATAGGAACGAGTCCTTGCGCTATACCCATTGCTGCAGAGAAGCCACGAGGACGTGGGATGGCTACCTGGGATCTGGCCCAACGGCCCAACATGTTGCCTCGAATTTCAGGAGCAGCCTTGGTGTGCCGTAGAGGCAGGCAGGGTGGCAGAGGTCATTGAAAATCAAAGTAGAGTACAATAGAAATAGTATGTAACTATAATATTTATAGTGTGGTAGGATAGTACAAGAGGGCAATTAGTGGCAGTATAGTTACAATAGTACATATCGCATACTATGTACGTGCATCTCTACTGTACATGTTTTGGATGTTTTTTTTGGGTAGTTGTTCTTGTGAAGATTTTGAGATGGTGAAAGATTTTGACCAAGTCCCGGCTGCCTTCCAGGTTCAGGAGCCTTTGAAACCCTCCGAGGCAGAAGTCCAGGCCTCGACCCTGGGGTAATTTAAGATAGCTATTGAACATCACCGTGTTTATAAGACGTGTATTAACTAGAGTACATAAACATGGCCACTTTCAATAGCTATGTGAAATTACCTGAGGGTGCCAATCTTTTTGATCTTTAGATATTTATGTCATGAAGACGAAGACCACCAGGAAAATATTGGGTAACAGTGAGACTTCCATGTCCAGGCCAACACCCGAGCCCGATCAGCTCGGGCGTTAGTCTTGGAGAAGCGGACTCGGAGAGTTTTAAGCGCCGGCAAAAAGGTGTTTGGCTGATACAGCTTTGGCAAATGGCTCGCTGTATATGACATTGAGTTGAGTCACTGCGGTTTTGTGGAGGTCACTGAAAAAAATTGGGTTAGGGCCGGTTAGGGTTGTCAGTTCAACTCGTGGGCTCCATGTGATGATGTTGCACTGAAGCTTTGGTTCGTGTCCTGACACCATTCAGCTCAGAGAGGGGGATGTCCAATCTTCCTAGTGCTTGGCTACGGCCTCCAGCTTTGATCTCAGATGGTAGTTCTATTCTTACAAATATAAAGGGGGGAAAAAAGATCAGCGGTGGATCGGGTTCTTCAACGGCTTCTTCCTTCACTGTGTCTTGGTTGTTTGCTGCCTTTCTTGACTCACTGTTTTGCAGCCCTGTGGGCTGCACGGATGTGCTCAACAGTGAAACATAGTGAAACTCATGATATCAAACTGATCAAACTTATCAAACCATTCATTTCCTCACAGATGGTAAGTTCGCTGATGGCACCCTATTGATCCTATTGAGGTGCTGATGGCACCTCGCCGAAGATTGGCAGCATCTTGGCAATTGATGCAGGGCGGCGGCCTGTGCCGACTCAAGACAGGGTTTAGGAAATGATGATTTGGGCTTTGATCATGTTTGATCATGTTTGATCATGTTTGATCATGTTTGATCATGTTTGATCATGTTTGATCATGTTTGATCATGTTTGATCATGTTTGATCATGTTTGATCATGCAATCCACTTTTGGAGTCTGGAGGTCCTGCACATGTTGTAGTTCAGATACCATCTTGAGTGAAATGGTTGAAACTGATGAACACTTTCAAGGCTCAAAAGCATCCTGTTTCCATTGCAAAACATATTGTTTCTTTCAAAATCCTTTTTTCACCCAAAACGAAATAGAAGCGGGGGAGTGCACGATCCCTTGAAAACGGAATATTTGGACTTCTAAAAAAGAGTTGTATAAATGTATGTAATGTATAAACCACTCACTTAGTTCCCAAGATGAGAGAGTTTACATTGGCATCATTTGGATCTGTCGATCACTGTAGCCCAAAACATCACCATGGATTGAGGGAATTGATCGCCCCACGCCGCGCCTCCACTGAGGCCCTAGTGGCATGCCTTGCGGTGGTGCCGCTGTGCTTTGTACCGTCTTTGCCGAAGAGGTGGAACTCAACCTCGCGGCTTTACAGGCGCTTGGCTCATTGGATCATTATGACGGGCGACTGGAGGTACCAGGAATGCCATTTGGCAATTGATTTCTTATGCCTTGGCCAACTATGTGGACTTTTGGATCTTTTGGATCTTTTGGATCCGGCTCAGGCGGGCTGAACCAGAAGGCCAAGCCTCCGACATTCCTGGTGATGCCGGAGCGGAGACTGATAGGCAGGGTCTTGCTGGATGACAAAGACAGAAAGCAGTAACAAAAAACCACTTGAGGCGACATACTGTATCTAAATCGATTTGGAATCATTGAATCATTGTATTCATCCTGCAAGTTTTGGAGCTATTTGTCTATTTCTATTTCTCATTATTTATCATTATTTATCATTATTTATCATTATTTATCATTATTTGTCATTATTTATCATTATTTATCATTATTTATCAATCATTGATAATTATCATTAGAATTATGAATCTATCTATTGATTTATCTGTTTATCTATTTATTTTGACGATGATGTTGATGACGATGACGATGACGACGACCATGGTCCGCCTGGGCTTCAGGGCCTGGTGGAATGATCCCAGCACAGCCTCATTGGTGGAGAAGTTGCAGGTGGAAAAGCTGAGCGCGGAAGTCTGGGTACAGATCTTGCCACACAGTTGTGCCACTCATGCAGATTGTCTTCATATAATGTACTGTATATATACATATATACTATATACATATATATATATATACATATGTTTATAGCTGTCCATGAATAGAATTCTATAGATCTACATGGTGCCTCAATCCTTAAACCAATGATTCACGTCTTACAAGCATGACTTTGCATAACCCATCGATTCAAATGCCATGCGAGGTAGAAGAAACCACAGATGCCTTGACCAAATTAAGGAGGCCTTGGGCTTCCATGGTTTCCAGATGGGATCCTCGAGGGTATCCAGCAAACGTCATGAGGGCGAATTCATCAGATGAAATTGGATTTCAACACCAAAGCCGTGCAAAGTCGTGGGGAGGCACGATTCCCCCTTCATTTGACTTGACACCAATCACCTATTACCTCTATATATATATATATTTACACATCCCACAATAATCTGAAGTTGAAGTTATAGAACTTTGCTGAACATTTAGAATCTAGATCATACCATCATCATACCATCATCATCCCAGATGCACATAATATTTTGTATTTCGCTATTTCCGGTACATTCCCCAATCATATCCCATATTGATTGAACCCACTATCGTACACCGAGTCATTTGGATCTCCGCCAGGCAAATGACCCTAGAGGAGCAAGCCTTCGACCAAGAAATCGAGGATGCGGGGCTCCCCGGGGCTTCCCGATGAAGTCATGGATGGCGTAGCGGCGTAGTGAGTTGGTGGCGAATCTGGGTAGAGATGGATGCTGTATTCAGGCATATTCAAATCCCAAATGAAAAGACTAGCAAACATTGGGATAGTTGCCAGCAATTATGGGTATGGGTCAAAGGCATATTGTGCCCTGCAAAAATTAGAAGATGGAGCACCACGTTTTCCCAACATCCTAACATCCTAACAACCTGACACCCAAGAGGTCAAGTGGAATGAAGTAAATGAAACCATTTTGGCAGAATATTGATTCCCACTTTCTGATACTTTCTGGTAGATTTCTGGAGTTCAGCTGCAAGCCTTTCCCGCCAAGGTGGTGATTGCAGGCAAAAGAGCTTTGCTGAAGCGAGGAGCATAGAGAGCATAGAGAGCATAGAACCGAAAAACAGATGGGCTCATCTCAGCACAGATCTAGAGTAGCAGCTAGACCAGAGCCAGCAAAAGAGAATCCATGACAAAGGGAATTATCAAACTTCAAAGCACAAGATGAGTCAAAGATCCCCCATGATCCCCCCTTGCAAGGCTCCGAATGCAGCGAGCTGTAGAAATGCCTGGGCTCGGCTGACCTGTCTTCATGCATCGTGTCGAGCTGCGAAGCTGCGATGCCGCTGATGTCAGTTCCTGGCCAGGATGAAGACCCACATGTTCAAAAAGATCAGAAAGCAGATTGCCAGGGCTTTGTCTTTGAGGCCATGGATGGCCACGGTATCCATATGTATCCATGGTATATCACCTGCCTGGGCATTCCTGGGTGAAGCTAGCTTTGGATTGTTGTTTTTGCTTAACATTTAGGCAACCATGAGGATATCATCTGTATATACGTATATGTATATGTATCTGGATATGTATATGCATATGTATTTGTATGTGCATATGTATATATCATACTATATTATATTATGTTATGTTATGTTATATTCTATTCTATTATATTATATTATATTATATTATATTATATCATATCATATCATATTATATTATATTATATTATCTTTATATTATATTATATTATATTATATTACAGTATATGAGATGACATCATATTATATATGAAGATACGAGATCATATGAAATTATATTGTATTTTATAGCATGAGATGATATGATATTATTTGACATATTATATGTTGCATTATACTATAGTATAGTATATGATGTGATATGATATGATATTATATGAGCTGATATGATATTATACTATTATACTAAACAAGATGATATGATATTATCTAAATTATATTGTTTATATGATATGATATGATATGATATGATATGATATTTTGTTGTATGAGATGATATTATATTACATTGTACTATATAATAATATATTATATTATATTACATTATATTATATAATAATATATTATATTATATTTTATGATATTATGTTATATTATATTATATTATACTATATTACATTATATTCTATTATATTATATTACATTACATTATATTATGGTATATTATATTATATCATATTATATTATATTATATTGTATTATATTACATTATTTTTTTCATATATTATATTATATTAGATGATATTATATTATATTATATTACAGTATATGAGATGACATCATATTATATATTAAGATACGAGATCATATGATATTATATTATATTATATAGTATGAGATGATATTATATTGACATATTATATATTACATTATAGTATAGTATAGTATATTAAATTAAATTATATCTGTAAAAATATATGTATATAACCATTGTGTAACCACGATATTTATCCATCAAGCATCATCTATCGTCTCTCCCTCTATGTACCTATGAAATATTTCCCCCGCCATGCGCGAGGCGCCAGCGCGAGATCGCGCGGGGCATCACCCAAGAGCAGAGCCGACGAATGCGACGGCGCAAGCGCTTGGAGCTGAAGGTGAAGTACGAGGAGCTGAAATTGAGTGAAGTTACCCAAGTTGACATTTTCTAATGGTTTCTGAATGTAGGACTCCAGGATACCGGGAAACACTCATTTGAAGTGTCTAAATGTACCATTTCCTACTGCTTAGCAGGGAATGGAAGAATTAATCATGATTAATGATTACAGATGATTGATGATCATAGATTATTTTGGGATCATTATGTGCTGGTGAAATAGCATTCTTGATTGGTTATGTGGGGGTTTGTAACCTACCGAATAGAAATCAGGAAACGGTTCTTAGCCAACGGTTATGTGGGATGGGATATCACAGTCTGCGAATTGCACTAATCGCATAGATAGCCCATGTGGTTCGATGGTGATTCTCCTTCGGCCTGTTAAATCTACATAAATCATCAGAGGGTTTGCTGCTGAAGTGATGTCGATCCAATGGAGGTGGATTGGATGAACTGACCCCCCAAAAAGACTCTTGCCGCGGGGGGTCTAGAGCCACTCCAGTTGGGAGGTTTTGGAACCTAGTCATTTAATAATCTTGTGAGGTGGACAACAGATAGGAAACCAGAGCCCTCCTTGCTTTACATTCTTCCGCAAGCAGGGCAACCCCTGCCATGAGCATCTTGGAGCTACCCCGCCATGAGCATCTGCCCAGTGCAGGATGCTTATGGTGGTGAGCGCAAAGGTCCAAAGTGATCGGCTCAACGAACCCGTGGTTCCAAGTTTTTTTTTGGGCCAGAAAAGCATTTGAGAATAATTTTTCAATGGATATTTTCTAGATTTGCCCATAGTTTCGCCCAGTTTTCCAACGTTGCAATGATGTGAAGCTCCTGAGGTCCCGGCGCTGGCTTCGCCGCATGGGCAGAATTGCTGGGGGGCCCAGCTGAGAGGATCGGAGACCTTTAAGGCTCCCCAGTTCGAACTTGGTTTATCAGCCCCATTCAGTGTAGATATGTATACAGTATATGTATATATATATATTCTATGATTTATATATTATATATGTATCATATCTAAATTATTTGAACTAAATGTATCTAAGAAATTCAAGTTCTAGCTCTTTTACAGATACCGGAAATCCTTGTCATGTCAGTTATAGACCAGCTTAGCTAAACATGGGGCACCACCTTGGGACCTGATGTGGCTGAGGTCTGATGTGGCTGAGGTGATGCTGCGTGCTGCGCGGCAGAGGCAGTCAGCATCTATATAGTCTACACATTGTGAACACATATCGATCTTTCTGTATGTATATGTATAGATATACTATATGATATACTATATATGATACTATTTGTATATTGTAAAGAGGAACATGAATGAGTGACTGTCTTAAGCCCGCCTGGTCTGTCACCGTGGTTGTCCTGGGGAGAAAAACCTGTCTCCACTGAGTTCAAGGAGTGACGCGTGACACTTCGCTGTGAAAAAAGCGCGGTGGAAACGTGGTCTGCCGCCACGTCACTTCGAACCGGCAAATCGTAGGTCAAAAATCTCTGGCCAATTGATGAATGACAAATAATGTAGCGCACTGCGACCGAAACGTGCGTCAAGGCCTTCGCTGCTAAGGAGATTTCCCTAGTCATAGTCTGCGAGGCACACGTAAAAGGTTCGCACGATTTCGCACAGACACGTGGCAAAGTCTCGCACGGACATGGCAACGCAATGGTGACCCAAATCTTGGTAACCGGGCAGCTTCAAAAGGCGCAGAGACCTCACAACTGACTAGGAATCAGATTATATAGAATGTAGACACAACAAACACAACCATGCAGGAATCAGAAGGCAATCAACCTTGTTTCAAGCCGCTTCAAGTGTCTCTACCGGTAAGCGGTATGTCAACGAGATTGAGACATGTACAGAGACTCATGGAGAAACAAAGCTTTAGCTGAAAGGAGCCACTGCGTGACCGAACAAACGAAGGGAACGACTTGTTTGTTAGCCTTAAAGGTCATTCAGGACAGGAAAGAGTGGGAGAAGAAAAGGTTTGGAAACCAACTCAAAGATGTATACTTGAACAGATTTGCAAGCGCTTTGCAGTGGTTCTGGATGTGCGCAAGATCCTGCCGTGTGCGGCATATCCAATCCTTTATGGAAGAAAGGCATTACGGCCGTATGGCCGTATGGCGACATCGCTGTAGGCGTACTCAGTACTCGTACTCTAGCGGAAGCAACAAACGGCGTTGTGCTCATTGGGGGCCCATTGATTTGTCGATCTTTGTGGAACCTTGGTGGAGTAGTTCAGAGGGTTTATATTCCGAACAAGATAAGATGTCAGAATAGATGCCAATTAGAATAAATGCCAATTAGAATGTCAGTATACATTACATGCCATATATACTTCCAGATGGTGTGTCAGAAACGATGTCAGAATAGTGCGTCAGGATGGGGATCACTCGAAGAAAGTGATTCCTCCACAATCCCTTTTATATGTCCCACGCTTGTTTTCCCTTCTGTCCAAAATTCTCAGTAGTGTATCCTCCAATCAGTTGTGTTCTGCGTGTAGATAGATATACATATATATGTATATAGATGTATGTGTGTGTATATATATATACATATGTATATATATATATAGTTAGTCAGATGATATTTCCCCCCTGTGGTTCCATGATTGCTTTTCCCCTCCCGATGTGAAAGGTCGTATCCCCCCACAACCTTCCTTTTTGTGATATTCCCCCTGACCCCTATGATGATTTCACCTTCCGACCCTAAGGTACGTTCCATGCAAGATAGTGTCGTATGCCCCAGCGTTCTGCTTCTTAATTCCATGCTTGGTCTTTCTCCTAAGGTCGTGCAAAGGGCGCTAATTGTCGTCCATTTGGGGTGCAAGTGATTTTTTTGCTCAGAGGGCGCAGATGACCCGTGACCCTAAACACGGCAGCAACATAACCAACGCATGTTCGCTCTCCACAACCACCGATACCTTTAAGTAAGATGGAAGACTTGGCGAAAAGCATAAAATCAGGCAACATTAATCAAACACAGCTGCAACATAGCAGTCTGAACAGACATTTCCCATGTTTATCCGCAGCCAGCAAAATCATCTAACATCAACAGTACATAATCGGCAAATCACAGACTGCGATACCTTCAAACAAACCGTAACATGTGAGAAAGGTAATGAAAGGTATCAAAGGAGATGGAATTCATTGAGAAAAGCAGCAACATCCCTGTTGCGGCAGGCCCGTTGTCCATCCAGACCACCTGAAGCCGCACGACTTGGGGTATCAACAAGGTGGCTAGCAATCACACCAGCTGCTGCACCACCAACACCACGAAAATCAAGAATTGCACATATTGCGACAACTTCAAGACGCAAAACTGGGGCAAGGAATCGAACACACCGGAGTTCACTAACACAGCAACTACATAGCAGTCCCGACACATTTAATTCAGCCAGAACCACGAGAATCAAGATATGATTGTCGATCGAAAGGGCCATGAAGAGATTTTCCAACACAAAGGCCGCCAGGGTCCCAACATGAGACCACGCGAAAGCTTTTTTTTTTCGGAATTGCGAAAGTTTTTTTTTGCGAAAGATTTAGCGAAAGATTTCAACATGAGACCCCCGGGAAAGATAAACATGGTTAACGTTGGGTTTGCAAAAGATTCGCAAAAGCAAATTGTTTATTCGCAAAGAATGGCTGGTTGCAGACGAAGGATTTGGATGAACCGCAACATACATATTGCAGTGCCTTCAATTCAAGCTGCAAATTTCGGCGGATGCAAAAGGGAAGACAGAATTGCGTACACCCACCAGCAAGAGAGCATCCGGACCACTACTTCCCCACCTAAACATTTTCAAGATGAAGGGCAGTCGGCACATAGCACGACTTTGTGAAATTATTGCGAGAGAAAGCAATCCACACAGAAGCAACATAGGTGCCCAACACACGAAAAATTAAGTCACAGAGCTGCAACGCAAAGGTTAAGCACACGCTCGTTGTCCAAGACCACCAAAAACAAAAGTATTCAAGACCTGCCATTTCTGCGTGCGATATAATTCTACGATAATTTTACGCCACAGGACTTGCCTAGTAGAACCAAATCGAACCAATACAGGCCCTCACCGGCTACATCATCGCGTGTAGACACAACATCAACATCGTGTAAGCCGCATTCGAAACGCCAAGGGGATCGCCACTCAAGTCAGAAAATTTTTGAAAACATTGGAGCAGAAAATCAACACGTAGCGTGAACTGTTGCAACAATTACATCTTCTCCAGATCCATGTCATAGCATTGTTTGATGGGTGCCGTGCCGAGAAAAGATAGGATGCAAAACCTATAAACGCGCAATGCCAAGCGCAGACCCAAAACGAACAGAAGAGGAGGCTTATGAGGATCTTTGGTAGAATTTGCAGCGGCCAATTGGAAACTAACCCAGAATGGCCTTCAAATCTTTGAACTTGGTCAATAATGAAGAGGGAAACAAACATCATTGGTGTCGCGCGAGGCATGTTGCTAACCGGACTCTGCAGCACAACTTATGCACGAAACTCTCACATGGAACCCCGCAGTGTGCAAAAGACGACACACACACAAGATAGTGGGAAATGCAGCACGGAATCCAAGTCACATGTTTAGGCAACATCTCTAGGTAACATCTCTTCTGCTAGGTATCATCCGCTCTAGGTCACATCTCTAGACTCTAGCTAACATCACTAGGTAACATCTCCAAGAAAATCTCTTGCATTGTAGCATCTCTAGGTAACATTTCTAGGTAGACAAATGAAACATCAGGGTACCCCATGTTCAGGTAAATCCACTGGATTTTGCAGTCTGTTGGAGACGTAGAAGGTGAGGTCTTCGTTCTTCGGCAATGGGGAAATCCAAACTGGTGTCAAATCATATCCCATTGAAATCCGATGAAATTCATTCAACCAATGATCAACTGGTGATTTAGGGGTTGGTGGTTTGTTCCATTTTGTTCCCTTTCAGAGATGCCGGGAATATCAGGAATCCAAATCACCCAAACCGCGAGGCAACCATGGGTTGATTCCGGGTGATTGGGATTGGCACACAATGTACAGTCACATTATAATAATTCTCACAAAGATCCGAACAGAAACTGGCTAGCGGCTAGCAACCGGTATTGTGCCACAGAAATCGGGGATGCAGCAGACACCCCCATGTGCCTTCCTTTGAGTCATTTTTTACTGTGCAGCCCCGCGCAAGACAAACTTGTTGTGATATTCCGACCTGCTTCGATTAGATATTTCATGTGATTCCCTATTTCTTTATTCAGATGTCTTATACATCCTGATCTGATAGTTCACCGAGTTGCTTTGTTCACAGCCATACTTCAAAGGAACGACTTGCATAGTAGCAGAGGAAAGTTGATTTGTTGCACATGATTTCGGGAAGCCGCTTGAATACACATTTTTCATCATTTTCCCAAAGAGTCAGCAGTGTCATGCTCCAAAACCGCGAGCAGCTGGCAGAACTGCCAGTAGAAAAGTTGCAGAGGACGTAGATTCTGGCCTCTTCAAGGACGTAGAAAAAAATGTGTCAAACAATTTCTTGCTGCAGGATTGTGGCACCCCGTATTTAAATATCATTCCCTGTCCAAGTAGCACTTCAAATTCTAGATAACACTTTGTGGATCCAAGAGGTAACATATTGTGCCTAAACAACATTGTGCTATATTGTGCTTAAGTGGCGTCTTTTGCCTAAGCGACATTTTGCGCTTTAGCAACATCTTGTGCCTAAGTAACAACTTGTGCTTAAGTAACATTTTTTGCCCAAGTAACATCTTGTGCATGTTGTGCGTAAATAGCATCTTGTGCTTAAGTAACATCTTGTACTTAAGAAAAAACATTTGATATTTCGCGCTTAAGTAACACCATGTGCCCCCCCAAAAAAATCGGTGTCCAAGTAGCAAGCAAACCTTCTTTTGTTTCTGCCTAAGGAGCACTCACCTGACTTTTTGTGCATAAAATCAGTTCAGGCTCAAAAAAACTACTCCAGCCCTTGTTGGCGGCTCCGATCTTATTAAAACGCGCGAAATTCACGGAGCAAAACGCAATTGAATTACGAGTTTTTTTCCTTTTTTCCCACTGTGAGGGGGGGGTTGGGGGGGTGGGGTTGCCCTGCGTCTTGTCCGGACATTTTCTCCCCCAGATGCAGACATGCGGAAAACTTTGGGGCCTGGGACACCTTTGCTGGGCTGCAGGTTGTCTTAGAAGGTGGCGGAGGAGCGTGGGCCAAAGGCTACTGCGGCGCCTGCTAGGACCACTGCACCAAATGTCGCTCTTGAGGCCAACATGGTGGTGGCTACAGAAGATGTCGCTCTTGAGGCCAGCATGGTGGCTACAGAAGATGTCGCTCTTCAAGTCAACATGGTGGTGGCTACAGAAGACGTCGCTCTTCAAACCGAAATGGTGGTGGTTACACAAGATGAAACTATTTAGACCAATATGGTGGTGGCCACAACAGATACAACTGTTCAACCGGACCCTGCAACAGAAGTTTCTGAAGTGGCTGTTCAAGTGGGCGAACTCTCACCGACAAGTCCTGCAAGGAACCCTGCTTTGTTTCCAATATTTGAGAGGGGCAGTGTGTTTTGTTGCCAGAAAAAATGTTCAAGTTGGTGCCAAAGACATGGTGTTGAAGAATGAGGAACCCTTTGAAGAGGAATTCTTTCAAAAGGTTTTCGATGTGGTTTCACCGACAAAACCTGCAAAGAGTCCCGCTGTGTCTCCAAGCTCTGGCCCTGAGGAGCCAACAATGTTGCCAGCAGGGAATCTTCACGAGGGCGCCGCGGTAAAGGTGGAGGAGCTGCGCAAGAAGGAAAAATTCCGAGTGCAGAAAAAAAAATTGAAGACCGTGAAGTGTGGAATAGGGAGTGGGGAGTGCGGAGTGCAGACTACTTTTGAGGAAAAACAGGATATGTAACATTTTTCTTCTGTTCGGTCGTATGTCTAAATAATATCCCTTGCGTTGTAACATCTCAAGGAATTTCCAGGTAACATGCCTAGGCAACATCTCTAGGTTACATCCTTTTTGCCGTTTTTGCTAGGTAACACCCGCTCTAGGTTATATTTCTCGACTCTAGGTAACATCACTAGGTAACATGGCCGGGACAATCTTTTGCATTGTCGCATCTCTAGGTAAGATTTCTTGGGAACATCTCTTGCGGTGTAACGTCTCCAGGTAACATCCCTTGCACTGCACCATCTCCAGGTAGCATGCCTAGGTGGCACCTTTAGGTAACATGTTTTTTGCATGGTATTATTGTAACATGGCCAGATGACACATGCAGGAAACATGTTTAGGTAACCTCTGTTGCATTGTGAGGCCTCGATGTATCTACGTTAAGATTGCGGTGCCGGGGGTGCAAATTTATCATACGAACAGGGCGCCAGAATCTCCGGCCAAGGAGCTCCGTTGGCAAAAAACGCTTTTGCTTCGGATTTGAATTTTGAGTCCTTTTAGGGTGTCAGATCACTACGGTGTCCTGTAACAGGGACCGGGCTTGGCGTGAAACCAAAAGGATCGGGTAACACCGACGAATGGCGGCTTTGCCGGAGGAGGCGGTGATCGAGGCCTTAACTGGCGATCTCCGCGACCTTTTGGACAGGAAGAAGGCCCTCAGAGAAGTCTAGGTAACACTGGGACGGCGCGGTGTTGAGAGCGTGGAGCTCTTGGCAGTGTTGGCAGACACCCGGGAGGGTACTGTGTATCCGCCAAGTAGCTCGGGATACCCCCGGTCTGGATCCTGCAGGGGGCCCGGCCGTCGCTTGGTGTCGCAAATTGTGCTTCAACATTTTCACTTGAATGCGCTGGCCATCCCCAGAGACTTGTTCGGCGTGATCGATGGAGATTGGATATGGTCCCTCCAAAAGGAATATTCAGAGTGGCCTGGGTTCGTCATGGTATGGGCCCGGGTGTCCGAAAAGTATGCGAGTTCTCTTCCTTGTCGGTTAGAGGCTGTGTAATAATTGAATGCAGCCAAAAAAAAATAAGCAACAGAAACAAAAATTTTCTTGGGTAGAACATTTCAAACGCATCCTTGAGACTGTCGAGGTTTACAAAGCACATCATCACGGACCTGGAGCATTTATACAAGCACATGAAAAGCTCAAAGAACCTCGGCATCTTTCTTGGCATGATGTTTATGAAAGACTGTTTGGCCATAAATGGGAGGTTTTTCCTCAAAAGTGGAGCCGCATTGAGGGGTTGTTACGGTCAGGGTTAAGGCCCGGTGTTCAATCGAGGTTCGCATCGGGGTCCGGCATTTTCCTTTTTTAAAATTTCCAAGCGAAATTGTTTTTGTGAAAAATCCATGTCCGTTTCAACCGCGCGGGCTCGCACAAAATGGCGTGCCGGGGATTGGTGTCCGTTTTTTTTGGTAAATGACCGTGCGAAATGGCTCTCGTGTCATTTCGTGACATGTAGACGTGTTTGGTGATGTGTGGAAAGTTGTTCTGCGTGGCAGGCGCAATACTTTTGCATACTCGTGCGGCGTTGTCCGAAGATGAGTTGCATGTTTCGTGGCACGCGCTTGGACGTGCGCATTTTCATTTGGTGTGGCAGGCGCGGCCCTCAGACGTGTCGTGTTGCGTCGTGTTGCATATTTTCCGCGAACGGCATTGCCAGGGCTGCGTGAAGTGGCGACAACGTGTAAATTCCGCGGCAGCCGTGGCATTTCGTGACATGTGATGAAAATCGAATGTTCGTTTTGCTGCTCCAACATGTCTCGTCTCGAGTTTCTGGCGTCGCCATGTCCATGGGGGAAACTGGAAAACTTTTCCAGTTCGAAGGCGTCGAAGGGAGGCAGTCTCGCACAAAATGCCAGGTTTGATGCTCCAACTTGTCTCGTCTCGGGTGTTTAGCTTTGCTTCGGCTCGCCGCGTCTATGGGGAAGCAGCGAAACCATTCCTAAACGGTGAAAATGTTAAAATTGGAGGAAATCTCGTACGAAATGTTCGTTTTGATGCTCCAACATGTGTCGTTTCCTGTCTCTAGCTTTCGCCTCTATGCTACGAAGTCCCAGGTGTTGCTTTGGTCAACTTGTCAGTTGTGTAGCATGGTGAACATTCCATATCTCACACTTCCCACTTCACATTTATAATATTTCATTTTTTAAACCCTTTGCATATCATTTTATACTGAATAGGTTCAATTTCACACATTCCAACACTCGACGCTCAACACTTTACATTGAAACGGGGACCCGTGCTACGTGAAATGCGTTTGGACATCCGTGTCAGTAACATGCGTGTGAGCATTCGGGTTCGTGGGTTTCATTTTTTTTTGTATCCGTGTTGTTCGTGCTTCTCTGTTTGTTTGCCCGTGTCCAGGCACCAGCTTTGAAAGCGAACCCTGACACAAAACAGTTTCAGAACAAGGTTCGACGTATCTCCACGCTACCTTGCCAAAGAAGAACACGCCACAACAATGCCAACTGTCCAACCAAAACGTGATTTTTTCAACGAAAAATAACGGTAATCAAGTTGCAAACAAGTTGACGGTCGATGGTTGCGGGTTCAAACCGCCCAACGTTTCGGTAGACGCACGCAAGTGCGCAGAACACTAGAACAGAAACCGTAGTGCATCATGAAGCAAACGAAACACATGAAAATCACATTATCCTTCCCAAATCGTATGATATTATCATACGTAACACATGTGCGTAGCGAATTGTGCCAACGCGTTGCTTGTGGGACATCCATGGTCGCCCGGTGCGAGGTGATGGTTTGCCGGGGTGATAGCAGCACGCAATCGAAATGCGAGGATTGTGCGATTTTGTTTTTCCGCCTGCATGGATAGAAAGTGTGAATCCCCCGAAACCACGGACTTAGTTTTAGTCCCTGAAATGGAAATGTGGGGTCCCTAGTTTCCAGGCCTTTACGTGCCGCGTGGACCCAACCACACTGTACATACGTATAATATATACATACAAAAACTTGCGGTCGCATAATAAGCTTGGAATGCTAAAAAAACGGTTTTTGGGCGGTGACGCTGGCGAACCTCTGCGCGGAATTTCATGGACCATACGACGCCGCGGAACCACAATGCACCCGACCATTTTAAAATAGGTACGGTATGCCATCAATAGCTACAGCTTTTAGCGTCCAGAACTGAGGATGCTTACTCGCAAATCCAGCGGCCAAAACTCGCAGCAAAATCCACCAAACAGGCGTTGACACACGCGAAACTTTGTGCAAGGCAGGGCCCAATGATCAAGTACAGGCGCCAATATCGACTCTAAGAGAGGTGCGCGTGGTTTCGTCACTTCTCTTTTAAACAGTACATACTCCATGTTGCGTCATTTCCATAAGTACCCATTTGCGCCCAATAGCGGGGTTCATTTGTCCCCAGATGAAGGCGGGTGTTTCCGTAGTGGAATTCAGGATGTCATTCTCTTTTCGCATCATTTGTTTCGAAGTCGTTTTCACGCTTTTTTTTCTTCAGCGGCGCTTGTGACTCATATGGCCAGTTTGTCCATCAGATTGTCCGAAAACATGTTAAAAACGTAGTCTCAAAAATGAGTCAGAAATGTCATAGACATATTGGAAACGTAGTATCAAGAGCGTTTCAGAAGTTCCAACAAAATGTCCGAAACGTACCGTTAAGAGCGTCTTAAAAGTAGTAAGCGCATGTTGGCAATGTGGCATCAAGAGCGTCTGAAATTTGCCACACGGATGTTAGAAACATAGTATCACGAACGTTTCGCAAATTTCACGAGCATGTTGGAAACGTGGCGTCGGGACCCGTTCAAGTTCGTGCTAACCACACTAGATACAATGCATCCCGGCCATCCGTGACCACATTCTTCACCAAAAACAATTTCAAAACCTTCGGGCGGTATCGTGCAATGGAAACATGTGTGGCCGTTATGCCCCGATCATTCGAGCAGAATTTTCATTTTGCCACTTTCTATGGCAAAAAAAAATGCCGGACCATGGGTTGGTGGAGCGAACGACGCACGAGGAACCAGGACGGAGAAATTGCCGAGTTGGTGAGGCTCAGTCTAACTAGACACTGTTTTTGCCAAAACCCTTTTTTGATATACGTGAAAAACGATATCGTCGATTCATGTGCCGACCAGAAAGAACAAACACATAGCCGGAGGATTTCTGCAAGTTATATAGTTCCGCGGCGAAACATTGCAATTGAAGAGAATAAACAAAATGAAACATGACAAAAACGCAGGCTCTGAAAAACTGGTCGCCAACAACGCTGCTTTCGAATTGAAATTCGGTGTATTTACCACAACCTTTTGGCTGAGGTCCTTGCATGTCCTGACTGCAGTACGCCCCTCCGCATCTGCCAGCTCAGTTTCCAAGTGTGACTGCGGCTTGTCCATTCGAAAACGCAAACAACTTTTCGTGGTCCGCAGTTTTGTTTCTCACAAATGAAGGAAGAAAGGATGACACATGATCTGGGCCCACATGAATAGTTGAACCAATCTGGATTTGCAATTAGCTCATGTTATCTCATGTTTGTTTTGTGTTGTATTTGCGGTGTGGGTTGGTTTTGATATGCTTTCATTATCCTTTGCACGCGGAGGTATGGTGCCAGTATGTGCCACGGCACCACTAAAATATCAAAGACGTTTCAAATGTGATACGATATTTGTCTGGCCTTTGGTTGCGTTACTATAAATTGTTCGTTGGATGAAAATGCTGGAGCTATATGGGCTGGCCTTTGTGTTTGCAGCAACCGTGTGCCATTTTAATGCGCGCTGCGAAAACCCGAGCGATGCCACCAGAGATCCATCGTCCCAGATGTTAAGGTGAGTTGCACACAGCGACGGGCCACTGGCAGCAGAGTTTAAACTTCATGGCGTTGAATTTCTCTTTGTGCCTATTTTGCTTTGTCCACCGGCATCCCAGAGGCCATCCTCCCACGATGCAGTTAGAAAATTAAATCCACGGAGGGAGACTTTTTTCTCAATTTGAACACTCTCACCCCCTGTCTTTGTGTCACAAATGTTCCCCCCTCCCCCCTCCCTCCCTGCCTGCCTGCCTTCCTGCCTTCCTGCCTTCCTTCCTTCCTCCCTTCCTCCCTTCCTCCCTTCCTCCCTTCCTCGCATGTTCCTCCCTCCCTCCCTCCCTCCCTCTCTGCCTCCCTGCCTCTCTGCTTCTCTGCCTACCTGCCTGCCTTCCTTCCTCCCTTCCTCCCTTCCTCCCTTCCTCCCTTCCTCCCTTCCT